CCCCTCGGTGCCCAGGAAGATTTGAGTAGCATAATTCCATTTTCGCTCCGCCTGATGTCTGCCCCAATCTTTGATGTTATACTTGTTGCAATACTCATCGACTCGTAAGGTTGCACGTCTTATATAATCGACCCAGTTTTCATGATCACCTCTCGCCACGGGCAACTTGCTGCGTAGCATCTTTCTCCGGGCGGTTCTGAATCTGAGCAACGTCGTGGTGCCCATTGTCCAACACTCACACACATACAAAGCAGTTGGGGTCACCACGCTGTCAAATATTCGCATTTGTTGCCGTAGAGGATACGTCCTCGAAAACAATATTTTCCGAAATCTCTCAAAAAGACTTCCACGCCGGTGCCAAACGATTCGTGTACTCGACCTCGCGGTAGTGACCCAAAGATAACTGTCTCCCCAAACATATGTCTGATTCTTCTTGCTTCAAGATCTCGACGTCGTGTCCGAACAGCGAAATTGATGAGGCAACAGCTGGTTTTGTCGGGGCGGCGGTTTTCGGCGGCGAGGACAAGCACCGACTTGACAAAAAAAAGGAAGCCTCGAGCGGGAGCGTTGTTATTGCTGGGGGCGGCGCCGATGAGAGAAAGACTAGCGCGCCAGTCCAAGGCAGAACGGGAGGAGATCTCGAGCGGGACCGCTGGTTTTGCTAGGACGGCCGCTTTCGGCGGCGAGCAAGAACACCAGCCCTGAGTAGAAAAAGAGGAAGTCTCGAGCGGGAGCGCTGTTGTTGTCGGGAGGGCGGTTTTGGCAGTCCCCCAAACCGCTCGAGCGTGAGCCTCATTTTCCATGAAAATGTAGCCGGCGCCCCGGCGAGAGCGCCAAAGCGCCTTTAAGGCGTCCAACAATAATGTTTATATAATAATTAACCTTCAACAACAACAACAACAACAACAACAACAACAACAACAACAACAACAACAACAACAACAATTACTAGCACGTGGGGACACTCCGTTCTCACCAGTGCCAGGGTTTTCATAGGAGGCGTGCAATACCCCCACTTTGTGGGGGGGCCGGTTCAAGCTCTACCAAATTTCCAAACGACTCTTCGCCACCACCCACACCCAGCTTCCCGCCCTATGACGTTCGGACATTTCACTTCGTGGCATGCGGACGACCGTGGTTACTATTCAGGGCCCCGCGGCCGACGACGACGGCGTGCGCGCGCGAAGAAAAAACGAATGTGTCCCGCATGGTATTATTTGACAGGGATGATGGCCCTGGCAGGTGCGCAACCGTTGTTGCAGAAGTTCGAAAAAGTTGCTCGCAAGCCCGTTTGACAGAAATGATTAAAAAGTGTTGGGGTATTATTTGACAGGGATGATGGCCTGGCAGGTGCGCAACCGTTGTTGCAGAAGTTCGAAAAAGTTGCTCGCAAAAGCCCGTTTGACAGAAATGATTAAAAAGTGTTGGGTTTCCTACGAATCCGCAAGAGCGCGCGGGATGAGATTTTGACAATTTTTTGTTGAAAAAACCATTGGTTTTTTATGTTTTTATGTTAAAATCGCTACGAACACTAAGGTTTTGGAAGGATTTCGTCTTGCGCGCGCGAATGTCCACTTTACCTTATTTTTTGCAAGGGATTCTTGAAAATTGATTATATTAGAACAAGAAATGTCATTTTCTATTGTTTTTTGCAAGGGAAAGCGGATTACAACAAAACAACCGGATCCTGTACACACCCTCTTTCCTGAGGCTTCCTCACGAAAATGATGAAAATGTAGCTGCGGCCTAGGCGGCGCAGGGGGGGCGCGCACCAGGGGGCCCAACAAAAATTATTCTTTAGAAAAAATAATGTTCAACAACAACAACAACAGCAACAACAACCACAACCACAACTACAACAACAACAACAACAACAACAACAACAACAACCATTTTAAGGCTGTACGCTCTTACTTGCCCGCGAGTCATCAACACGTATACCCTACACCCTCGATACCCGCCCTCTTCGTCTTCGATCACACCCCTTTCGGGGGGATTATTTCTCTTTGCTGGGGCCGGCGGGCTTAGACGTACGGGCAAACCGGAACGGGCGGACAATCCTTCGGGGGCGTACATCTT